ATATATATATATATATATATATATATATATATATATATATATATTCACTTACATGTGGATATTAACTATTAAGTCAATGATCAAGCTACAATCCATACAATCATAGAGGTTAGGTATAGAGTAAGGTGCTGGAAGAGAAATATAGATATTCCTAGGAGAGGGGAGTAGAAGAGACAGTTATGGATCAGTGAAGGGAGGGACTAGCATAAGAGGATCAATTATAGATATGGAGGGAAGAGGAGGATGAAGGAGGACATTTGAGGGGTAATATGGAAACCTAACACGGTAGAACTGTCCTAAAATATACACATATATAAAAGAGATCTAAATCACCAAAGAATGGGAGAGACAGAACCCCTCTGGATATCTCTTGTTTTCAAACAAAGCTTCCAGGATCAGAATTGGGCTAGATCTGAGTTGCTGATCAAAAGGGTCCCATTGGAATTCCCAAAATATTCAGGCTTTTCCCAAAATTATAGGTTGCTCTTCATAAAGTGATGACAAAGCCCAATAGCTGAAGACAAGACCTACAGAATTCACTGAATATGGAGAAATTGGGCTGGTGCCTACCAGCCTATGATAGCCTTTAAATCATAGAACTAGCATTTTTGCTATAGGGAGTCACTATTTATGCTACCAAAGAAGAGACATAAACACCAACACAGAAACAGGTTCTTTGATCTACAATGGTGTCCTGCTGCAAAATATACCAGTGCAATGGTAGCACAACATTCTTTGGGGTAGCTAATCATTATCTAATTTTACTGGAGGCTTATTTCATGAGAGGAGTCACACTGCCTAAGTGATAAAGAACTTGAGACTAGATAGCCCAGAGTCCTAGAGTAAAACTAGATACTATTGTTCAAAAAAAAAGATAGAAGCAAAATGACTCCAATAACATTCTTCATATTCATATGTTAGTGTTTTGCACATCTGTCATTAGAGAATCTTTTTCCCATAGCAGATGGGGAAAATACAGAGAAACCATAGCCAGACAATATGCAGAGAATGATAAACCTTGAAAGACTTAGTTTAAAAATCTGCTCCAAATTCCCCCGCTTAGGGTTCTGGGAACTCTGAAGAAGAGGATGCCAAAAGAGTGTAAATGCCAAAGGGAATGAAGGGCACTAAGGAAACAAGGCCCTCTACATCAACAGGATTGATGCATGTATGAAGTCCCAGAGACTGAGGTGGCATGCACAGTGCCTGCACAGATCTGCATCAGATGGAGTCCTAGAGCAGAGACAAGCGGACACACGCTCCTATCTGTAATCCAGAAGCAACCTCCAGTTGATAACCACTTGCCGAAGAGAGTTAATTTCTTCTAAGAAGTCTCACTGGGGAAAGAAGCTACACTTAAGGGAAGGCTGCATGTCAGTAGTAGATGGTCATCAGAAAATGAACTAAAAGGCATCTTAGAAGGTTCCTCATCTCGTAATGTCATATCATAGCATTTCCTTTATTATTTTAATTTTATCTTATTATAAACACTTAGAAGCCTGTTTGTTTTATAATGAGAGACAAGAGGGGTAGATCCAAATAGGAGAGTTAGTGAGGAGGAACTGGAAAGAGGGGAAATTCATAATCAGGATATATTATGTGAAATAAAAATATATTTTCAATAAAAAGAGAAGGGTTTAAATAAGTAGGGATGATGAAATACTAGTTTTCTCCATGTCCTTCCTTTAAACATGTTTATTGGGAGATAATTTTAAGGTGATATCTATACTTTTGCAAAATAAAATACTGACTTTAGATTACATGAGATGAACTGTTACATTAAACATTATGATAAAACCATCTTCTTTCTGGTGTTGAATTACAAGGAATGCTAGGCTTGTATACATTTTGGACACATTGCAATACTTTGTACCATAAAATGCTAAGCCTGTTTGATAAAGAAATCAGTTAAATTGTGATGTCCTCACTACTCAAACTTCAAACAAGGCGTGGGATTAAACAACTTCTAATTGAGCTAACTTATGACTAACATGAATCTAATTCCTTTTAATCAGAGAACTGTATAAATTACTGGTGCCTGCCTACATATTCTGGGGGCGATTGTGTTTACACATTGGTGATTCATACTCATTTACTTTGAAAGGCTGCAATTGTTCATCAACAGTGACTCAAGCTTTCCTGTGTCTTTGCAGTGAGCTAGAAAATTTTATTCAAGAATTTAAATTATTGCTTAAGTAAATCAAAACAAAGTCATCATTTCAAAACAATGTTAGCCTAATGTGTAAGAGTAACAGAGGCAACCAAATAAATCTATGGACAATCAACAGCCTAGCTCTACCATCCCTTGTAGGATATGCTAATTTCACAAAAATGTCAGATTGTTTTTATAAAATAATTAGGCTCTTGCATGTGTTTTTTGCAATGAGGAAGCAAGGCATTCATGACTAAAATATGAAGGGTAGCTGAATACTTGGAAATAAATTTAAATTCAGTTGCTAATTCTCAAAATTAACTTTTATGATTCCCTTTGCATCCAAAGAGGTTACCAAAACAAGTTGTTGGATTCAGAAAAGCAAAAGACTTCTCTGTATCTATGTTCACTATTCTGGACCCATATATTACAAAGAAAAAAGGTACCGTTATACTTGAAGTCATCTGACTAGTGGACCATTTGTTAGGAAATACTCCCTATTATGTGGTCTTTATGTCACAGAAGTCATAAGAATGCTCTTCACATTTTCAAGAATGAAAAGCACTTGCCTCCTCTTTGGTACATGGTCTACAAAAGACAGATGTTAAATATCCAAGATACCTCACATGCTCCAGCGCTTCCTTGTCTCCTAGGTTGCATAGGTGGACTACTTAACGCTTGGGTCTTAGTCTCCATTTAGGATATAGGACTCTGTATGTAGTCTTTGTATGTGAAGATAGGAGAATATTCTGGTTGTAGCATTAGAAATGAATAAAATCACGAAGGGAAAGAAAAAAACAGAATGAGAAGACTGGGCTCAGGCAAAATACCTGGCATATATGCACCTTTAATAGACTAGAAAACAAAGAAGAACCAGGAAAGGACACCAAAAAGGAATAATGAGAAAGAGAGAGAGAGAAAGAATCAAACTAGAAACCTTGACCTCATTACGAGGATGATTTCCACATATTTAATTTATACCATGTGTTAAGTTAATTCATGGACACTTGTAAAAATTAGGACAGTTAGAGAAATATGAATTTCAAAGATTACAATGAAACATTCTAAATATATGCTGGGAGATTTCTGTGAGTGATGGAGATCTTTAGAAGCTGAATAAATGTAAGTCACTTTTAGTTTGCTTTTCCTCAAGAACATCTTGCATTGCATCATATGCAGGCTTGGTGCTGAAGTAGTGATTAAACAATTAACATTCTGTGTAATTCTCAGTAGAATAATTGCCCTGTTTGTAGAAGTGCATTTGAAAGACATATTTAAAAGATATAGATTGGAAGAAATCA